TAGTAGGAAGACCAATTTTGGCCTTCCTAAGACAATCCTCAGTCGTGCACAATGGGATAGTTTCCGTAGATTTGGATTTTACCATCAGAGACAAATATAACTAACCTTACTAGACAACCCCGTGAAGTTGGATCCATCAACCGGACAATTCAACGCCCTTTAAACGAAAGCCGATAAGAGGAACGGCTCGGGCTGCATCGCAAAGCACCTCACGGACACTTACAATCAAATGTTCATTGAAACTGTCCTAATAATATTCTACTAGATGATCAGAAGAAGCGATCACTGGAACAATGGCTTTATTCGCCTGACGTTTCGGATTCTCTCTTGAATCCATCATTAGAGACAGTTGCAGAAAAGGGTGGCTCGTGTACAGGAAGTCGCAGTATTAATAGGATGCGGTCGCCATGCTACCGCATACCTACAGCAATTAACCGTGCTCCCTTCATCAAGGATTGTTGCCCGCTGGTGCGCTTATTGCTTGATGGCCGGCATGCAAGTTGTTAATTGCTGACATCTCATCACCCGTGTTGGATGCTGGCGTGATGATTGCTCGGCCATCTGGCTCACCGGCTTGCGCGTTCCTAGAGTGGTCACTTGCTTTGGCCAGTCTATGCCTCAGCACAGAATATGGAGTGGGAATGTCGTTGCACTTGTTGATAGACTGAGGCCCCGTGAACCATGACTTAAGCAACTCGCGGCTCACGCGATTATCCCCTCTCGCGAGAATTTCGGCCTCATCGAACTTGAATGTGTGGCCGGGTCTCGTCGAATGGGCCGCGACCTGAGAGTTGGCGTCATTTCTTCGTACAGCTGCCACGTGTTCGGCGATTCGCGTCCGGAGCAGTCTTCCAGTTTCTCCGACGTAGTTGCTTTGTCCGCAACTGCACCAGACCCGGTAAACGACTCTAGATGTTTCTTGCCGTGGCAGTGGGTCTTTTGGTCTCATCACGTGACGCCTCATGGTGGCCTCCGGTCTGTCTCTGATGATGGATTCAAGAGAGAATCCGAAACGTCAGGCGAATAAGGCCATTGCTCCAGCGATCGCTTCTTCTGATCAACTATTTCCTGGAACTCGCATCTTCGCTTGTGTCGGCAATTTGTTTGGGCGCGACGCGCTCCGATCGGCCCGACGATGGGAAACTTTCGCCTTTCGAGAGGCCTCTACTTACGCGCAAATCCGGTTTCTGCACAGGTGTCTCGATAACAACGTGTTGCCGAAGTGTGTTTCATACAAACCTCCGGTAAACACGGAGCAAGCGAGACGCGCAGTATTTCGGCAAGGAAGACGTATGATCCGCGTGCTCCTTCAAGATTGCCATGCGAGACTACGCAAATACCGTCAGAGTATTGACCAAGAGAAGGTTAGATGCTGCGAGTTCATGGGCGAGAACGGCACAAATCTGCTTCAGCAGAAAGTGACTGAACGAGCCCGCGAGCAGAGAGCGACACGCGATGCAGCACTGGGGAACAAATTCCACAAACTGCCTGATCCAACGTCATCCAGAGGCGGCACACTGGTACACAACCTGTCGTCAAAGGAACTGACGAAGGAGCAAGTACAGGTTTTACGGCACGAAGCCTCATTCAACACAGCTGACGCCAAACCTGTCAACATGATTGCAGCAGTGGAATCGGTCATTAATCAGACGGAAGCGGCGGAGGAGACGAAGAACCTTATCCGATACCAAGTTTCGTCCCTCCTTTTGACTCACAAGCCGCGCGAAACACTCACAAAGGTCGAACGCGATGCACTAAGAGAACTCAAGGCCGACAAGGACATCGTCATAGTGCCCGCGGACAAGGGGCGTTCCACCGTCGTACTGGACAGAACAGACTACCTTCAGAAGGCTAAAAACCTACTGGAGGAGGAGAAAAAAGACTAAAACAAACGTTTCACAAGGAAGCTGCCAGATTTGTAATACGACTGAGAGACACAGAATGCTTGATGGAAGCCCACTCCCAAGGTTTCATGCCTGTCCACATGAACAAAACTCGGTATCATGGGTAACCAAAGAAACGTTTTGTTTTCAATAATAGAATTCAGCCATATCTTTTTATTCTAATCTGCAGAACTTCGAAATTAAAGTTACTTCAAATCCAAATCCTGCTCTCAGCCATGCGAGCTGATAGGGTAAATAGATCAAGCTTCTTAGAAGAAAGTCCGGAGAGAGCAATGCGCAAAATTTCTCAAGAACAACTTTAATTATCAGTTGAATTCTCACTAGTTTAATGCTTCATTCCTCGGAAACAACGTCGGAGTATCGAACCAAAACGTATGCTGCTACTAATTAGAACGGACTGACTGATTAACTAACACCAAGACTCCGCTTCGAGAAAATGATTATTTATTCATTTACATATGATAGGGACGCGTGCAACGAAATACTAGTAGGAAGACCAATTTTGGCCTTCCTAAGACAATCCTCAGTCGTGCACAATGGGATAGT